ATCTTTGGCAAGTATTCAGCCATAATTCTAAAAGTCTTCGAAAATGTAGAAATGTCACATATCTGGCAAAGGACACTAATGAATACGCCACCAGCAGATACATTTTTTTTTGCTGAAAGACAGTGGTGGGTAAGAAGGCAATAACCCCTCACTACTTCTAGTCAACATGTAACCAATGTCCTGGCTATGCAGTAAGTGATGAGGCACAGAAGCATGCCCGTGGAAAAGGACAGGAAATGGGCTTTATTTGTAGGTGACCATCATTGTATAGTAGCAGGTATTTACAGAAAAGCCCTAGACACAAAGAATGAGTTTAGCTATGCAGTAGGTTGCAAGAAGTAATGGCATCCTTCCTCTGGAGGCCTCACACCAGCTTGTGCCACTGCCATGGCGCTAGTGATCCCTGAGAAATTTTGGCACATTTTGTGAGTACTCAACACTTAATGTCAATGGGATGCAGAAAATAGCCACCACTGCCCTTAAGGGTGTGACGAGGAAATATGTCTGTGTGGTGGTGAAGAAAGCAGACACTGACCTCACCAAGAGGGCTGGAGAACTCAGTGAGGATGGGGTGGAACACATCCAGGTCAGTACAAGATCCCAGGAAGGTTCCTGAAGTGACAGAAGGATGGAAAGTACATCGAGGTTCTGACCAATAGTCTAGACAAGTTCTGTGAGGACCTAGGACAGTTGAAGATGATTGGAGGCCACAGAGGGCTGTGCCACATCTGGAGTCTTCAGCTGTCCGTGGTCAGCACACAAGACCGCTGGCTGCTGGGACTGTACCGTGGGTATGCCCAGGAAGAAATGAGTATAGACCTTTTCCGTTGATGTAGAAAGTAGTGGCATTTACATATGAACACAACTCAGTAGAAGGCGGCAAATGTTTGTAGGAAAAGTTTTAGAACATTTTGAGTGTCAATTTCATGTCACGCACAAACTGAATTTGAAGTATAGGTTTAGCTATCGAGTAGAAAGCATTGTTTCTTGAAAACAGAAACTTCAGGACCTGGGATATCTTTTTTTAAAATTTTTTATATATTTGAATTACAAACAAGATTGAACTACATGACATCCCAGTTCCCTTCTCCCTCCCTTCCTCCTCTACCACGCCCCCCAACTAAAATCCTACCTGTCATATGTCCTTTCTTCTAATCTACACCTGACTCAAAATTTCTGCTTCCTCATGACCTCTGCATCCTTCCTTTTCTTCCCTTCTCACTCTCGTAGCTTCCTCCCCCCTCTTCGCATGTTCTCAATTTGCTCAGGGGTTGGTGACCATCTCCCCTTCTCCAGGGGACAAAGTTTGTCTCTTTTAGGGTCTTCCTTGTTTACTAGTATCTCTGGCAGTGTGGATTGAAGGATGGTAATCCCTTACTCTATGTCTAAAATCCACATATGAGTGAATACATATCATGTTTGTCTTTTTGTGATTGTAACCTGGAATATCTTGTCATCAGTTTTAGGACAGGCACAGATTTTGTGAGCCACAGAAATAAAGACCATAACAGAAGAAAAGTATGCTGGGGAGTTTTTCAAAATTAAAGTCTTTGCTTCTCTGAGAACTCAGTGAAGAAAATGGACAGGCAGCGACAGTCCGGCCGGAAGTACTTGCTGTGTCTGTGATAAAGGACATGTGTCCTGACAGCAGCCAACGGCTAAATACAGGCTCAGTCTATGAACTTCCAAATCAATCTAAAGTCCCTTAAAAAGGGTACAAGATTTTAACAGAAAGAAATAGGTATATCAAAGAACCCATAGCCCTTCAAAAACACATGCGTATAATTAGTGGTCAAGAAAATGGAAGTTAAAACCCCTGTGACTACCACAGCATACCCCAAAGAACAGTGATAATTAGAAAGATGAGATCCATGCTAATAGCCAGGCTGTGAAATATTGTGCCCCGCCACTGTGCAATGTATAAAATGATAGGGCCCACCTCCAGCAGTTTCAGTTTCCTGATTTTTTTGGTTTCTAATCAAATTAAGCATGCATTTATCCTGTTACTCGGTGGTTTACTTAACAGAAATGGAAAGACTCATGAAGTTAAGATTAGTCTCATTCTTAGCAGTCCTCCAAATGGCAAGAATTAGTAAGTTATGTTCAATAAAGGAACTACTAAGCAAAATAAAGAAAGGAAGGAAGGAAGGAAGGAAGGAAGGAAGGAAGGAAGAAAACTACACTCATGTGATACCCAGAAAACAAGCAGTGTAATTCTATTTATGTGAAGTTCTAGAGCAGGCGGGACTCATGTGTGGTGGTAAGCATTAAGAACAGTACTTGCACTGGGCAGTGGTGGTGCACACTTTTAATCCCAGCACTTGGGAGGAAGAGGCAGTCGGATGGCAATAAGTTCAAGGCCAGCCTGGTCTACAGAGTGAGTTCCAAGACAGCCAGTACTGTTAACACAGAGAATCCCTGTCTTGAAAAACCATTAAAAAAACAAAACAAAACAAACAGAAAGAACAGTGCTTGCCTTGGTGGCTGGAGGGGTCCAGGATTGGTTACCAAGGGGCGCACCAAAGAACTTTATAGTGGCACAGTGGCGTTAGGGTTATATGGATGTAATCAAAATAATCAAATTCATTATGTACTTCGTGCTCATTCACAAAGTTAGTCACACAAACCCCTGTTTTGAAAACACTCATTTCCCCAGTCCCAAATCAAAGCTCAAGTCAGACCATTTTAGTCCACATCCCAATTCTAGGAAATTCCTTGGCCTTGAGAATGGAATTTAACCTCCCCTTTCTTGTCAGTTAATGCTGTTGACTGTTGCTAGTACAGATTTAGGGTCATGAAGCTCAGAGTGAATAAAAACAGGTGGTACCAGCAACATCAAGTCACAAAGACAACACTTGGCTTGCTCCAGAATTAAGTCTGCTCTAGTCTTTGAGTGTCTGATGAAGTAAATGTGTTTCAAGGAACTGTCTCTTAACAGAATGTGTTTTAAAACTTATTGGTATACTTGGTTTGGCCTCTAGCTTATCTGGACAAAGAGGATTGGAGTGTGTCAAAACCAAGTCAAAACCAGATCATGGTATCTGTGAGAACAGTGTGGGGTGGTGGCCAGCCACGTGACTTTGTCATGCTACTTTCTTAAGTTAGTCTCCTTCCCGCCAAATAAGGAGGTGGTATTATTACATGAGTGGCACTTCTACTTGGGGTTCCTGTCCCCTAGGAATCTGTGGCAGCTTTTATCTTTCTAGAACAGTGCTCCCAATGTACATACAAGGATGTTGTATGATGGGCCTTGGTAGCCCTATAACCTATATGACATTATACATGTGTGTAATAAATTAGCTTAGGTTTTTTTTTTTTTTTTTGACATTGTTGTTTTGTTATTTTTGTTTTTAAAGTCTGGTTGAGCTCTCTTCTTACTCAAGAGTAAAGAAAATCTGGTATCAGTCATTTGGAGCCCTCCCTAATCTTTTAATCCTACAAAACCCAGAGGTTCATGTGAATGTTGAAAATAAGGCTAATTGTCACACCCGGCCTTATGTCCTACCACCTGGCACTTAGCTCCCTCTAGGCTGTTGTCATTGCTTCTGCCTAGGCCCCTGTGCTCCTTGCTAGCAGGTGGCTAAACTGGAATTTCCTCTTGCTTTTGCCTGATTTGGCCACTATGACCTTGGGGCCTTATGGACTTGCCCCAAGGCTGCTGCCATTAGCACCCAACTGTTTTAGGGCATCTATATTCTTGTTCTCTTCCAAAGCCTGGCTTGGCTTTCTGCTCCCCCTGCAGGGCCTCCTGTAGCACCACCTCCTATATCTCCTCATTCATTCAAGTCAGTTTACAGTTTACACTTGTAGATGAGCCTTGGTCTTTGAATCTCTCAAGACAGCCTTTAAAATTTTTGCTTTTGACCTCAAATACACAGGACTTAACTTTACCACTTAGAAGCACAGGGCAAATTAGGAAATCATTTAGGCTGTATGACATGTCCCATGTCAGCAGTACAGACAGCCCTGTATTCATATATGCTGCAAAGATCTAAAAAGGCAATCCGTGTAGATGGTACTAGAGAGGTTGTTAGACCCCCCCCCCCGGAAAAATTCAGGTCTCCGGGGTCCCAGTCCAGGACCGAAGTCACCCCAATCACCAGGCAGATTCGAAAGCTTGCTGCAAACTGCATGAGGCTTTATTGTTTTTTTAACGAGCTAACCCCATGTTAGCTCGGGTCTTTCACCCACCCGCCATGGCGGATGGCCAGGAAAGACAGCTAGAACCGGCTGCCGAGAGATCTTGTAGGGCAGCGTAAGGGGAGTGTCCAGGGGCACGCACAGGCCCAGGATTGGTGTGCCTCCAGGCCTGGAGGGCTTGCCCTTTGCTGATTGGCCAATTGGTTGCCATGGCCCATAGGCCCTCCCAGGGTGGCCACCATGCTCTGTGCGTCATTGCTGTGCGCTTGTCCGCAAAGCACACCCAGAGCTGCAAAGCATACCACTACCAGATAACTTCTGATTGGCTTCCTGCCACGAGGCAGGCACCTAACCTCTAGTGACCAAGGCAAGGCCAGAAAAGCACCTGTCTGGCTGTTATGGCTGCCGAAATGGGGAGCTGGTCCCTTCAAGGTCAAAGGCATTTGACAAGCCTGGCTGAGATATAAACTATAAACAAGTTTCTTGGGCCTGCCGCATGTGGAAGGAAGCTTTCAAAGGGCAGTCTGGGAAGTGTGTATTACCCAGCAGCCTTTGGAGGCATTTTATGGCCAGCTGTGATTACAATCTGCTTAGATACAGTTAAATGAGCAGAATCACCACGTTGTCCTGTGGAGCCTATAATGTGGTCCAATGGTCAAATCCTGCGCGCAGCTCCAAAGGGTATTCCAGGTCAGGCGAGGCAAGGCATTTTAGGGTTGCTGGATGTTTCCAGATTAGGGTGTTGTTCATACCAGACTTCCTATTATGTAGAAAACAAGGAGCATTTGGGGGAAGGAAGGTGACTCTTAGCTTGTCGCACGGAAGTAACATCAAACATTTCCCTTTCCCTCTGTTGACAGAATAACACAGACGGACTTCAAGAACTTGCCTGCGGGGGTTTGATTTACTGCTTGGGAGTTGTGTTCTTCAAGAGCGATGGCATCATTCCATTTGCCCATGCCATTTGGCACCTGTTTGTGGCCACAGCAGCTGCAGTGCACTACTATGCCATTTGGAAGTACCTTTACCGAAGTCCCACGGACTTTATTCGGCATCTATGACCAATCCGTGCTAGGTCTTCAAATCAGTATTATCCCAGTTGACACTTGAGTAGGGGTAAGAGCTGAGTGTTGCACAGGGAAGAAGAATGAGCAACTTGCACTGACTTCCTTTAATTTTTTTGAATCTAATTACTGTGAAAGTATAAAAGCTGTGCCCTGGAGTTTTTCTCCTCACAGCCAACAAATAAGGTAGTGAATTAATTCTTCATTCCATTCCACTATCATGAAGGACTCTGGGTAGACTTGGCCAACTGATGTTTACAAACCAGAATTTTGTATTTTCGTTTTACAGATTTTACTAGATGATTTTTCTAAATTACTAGGCCAGGCTGTCAAAGTCAGTGCGGTAACACAACTTCCTTTTTAAGAAAAACAAAAGTTGTTTCTATCGCTTTTCCCGTTCACTGTGTAAAGAATCATGGAAACGGAAACGGAACACTACTTTTTACCATGTTTCATCTTGACATAACATGGCTATTTTTTTAAAAAGAGACTTTAGTTGTTTTGTAAATTTTTAAAAAACTACTCCATTGACCTGCACCCACACGGTTCCTCAGTCATGTGAAGTTTTGCAGCAAGCGGTCAACATTCCACAAACACATATACCTCTTCTGATGGTTTTATTAAGTGTGGAGAATTTGCCAATTAAAAAAACAAAACAAAACAAAAACAAACCTGTAGTTTTCCAAACCTTTCTGCCAATATCTGACCCTGAATTCAGTGCTGCTGTGGGGTTGTAATACTTGACCTGGTGTGGTCCACCAGGGATGAGAAAGTATTTTGATATCATCAACTTTTTCAGACAACGTCACTTTCCTCTCTGCCTTTGCCATGTTTTCTCCAGGGTCTCTTTCCACATCGAGGAGGATCCTGTGTGTATTATAATAGTATTGTTGGGCTGGCCATCTGCCAGACACTTCTCATGAGCATTCTGAATTATGGTGAATTGTTGTACTGTCACTTTGGTGGCCAACAGTTCAGTCATCGTGGTTAAGTCACTGAACTTTATTGTATCAGTTTGATATTCATTTTAAATTGTGGGACTAGATATATGAATTCACATTTCTGCCTTTTCCTCTGCATTTCTCAATATACTATTTTTTTTCATACCATATATAAAACTTTGATTGACAGGTAGAAACTTGTTATCAGTAGTCCATGGTTTTATGCTGACTCAGTGGAATAGTATTTATATATTATTTCTAGTTTTCTCTCAATGTCTTATATTAAGATTGATGTATTACTTGCTTTGTTGTGTATCTTTCTTGGTGTTTAAAAGACATGAAATCACCTTGCCTTTAGATCAGATGTTAATATAACCTGTTTGTCTAGAAATAGGCTTGCTCAATGGAGCTGTCAGATTGAAGATACACTTTATTAATTGAAATTCTGTACCATTGTAATTTTAAAAGAAAGTTTATTTTGTGTGTCTGTTCAGGCTCTGGTTTTGGTAAATTGTTGAGGATACTTGCTGGTGATTTCTTCAGTAGGCAAGGGTGGCCAAAGATAACCTGGTAAATTGTTGAGGATACTTGCTGGTGATTTCTTCAGTAGGCAAGGGTACCCAAGGATAACACCAGCCGGGCCATTCTATATGCATGATACTGAACATTTAGCTGCCTGTTGTTTTACTGTGTAAAATATTTTACTTTAAATATATTAACTTTTGTGGATTCATTTAAACTCTGCCCATAAGCAACACTGTCAAAACCACTTAAATGTATGTAAAAACTTGTGCTGTAGATTAGAATAAAGTTGTTACTTGGGTTGACTCCATTGTCTCGAGCATATGGCTGAAAGTAATGCTGGTATTTGAGAGCTTGAGTGTATCACACATTTGTAATTTGTGTAGTCATCTTCCAAAACTCAGAATGTAGGGGAAAACAAAGTGGCCCGTTCATTTTTAACTTTCTAATCTGCCTGCTAAACACTGACTTGCCAGAGCTAACTCAAGCACCAATCAGCACATTATCAGTTTGCCTGCTTGCCTGGTGTGCTCGTGTTCACATGAAACCTCAGCATTTAGGAAACTGAGCCAGGGGGGTTTGAGGCCAGTCCAAGCTACATAGTGAGAGATCATATCATATTGTATAATAGTAATGTGTGTGTTTGTGTGTGTGTGTGTGTGTGTGTGTGTGTGTGTGTGTCCAAGATGACAGTGGTCATTTGTAAAAGTGGTCATTTGTAAAAGGTCAAGCCTCACAGCTTAAAGAGATCACTCCATACCTTCCTGTAGCTCTCTCAGATAGTTAAGGAGCTGTCTGTGCTGTGGTCTAGCTGTAGCCCCTGATTTATGATCCTAACCAGCACCTGGCTCTTCCAAGTTCTGTCACATATGCTATTGAACTAAATCACTTGATGGGAAACGTCCCCTAATAGGTTGTAAAAAGTCCAATTTCTTCTTTGATGGGCGTTGGTCTAGAGACTTCACTGGGGATTTGTTCAAGGAGGAGTTCTGAAAATTGCTGTCTGAAGAGGCCCTTCTGGACTTCTCCCATCAACTCTCTTACGGCAGTGTACTCTTGAGTGCTCGCTCTCTGTCTCTCCCTGTCCTCGTTTTCAGTCTTAAATGAAGCTCCTCTCCAGGTCTATAGGGGAGCCTTTCCTTTCCTTTAAGGCCGCCGTCACTCTTCCCTCTTCATTATATGGACCATCTCCTGTGTCATGTTCTTCCTCCCACCTCGAGGCCCGAAGGTTACACATTTGTAGATATGTCTTTACCTCAGGCAGCTTTTGTTGAGCTTCTGTAATGCATTGTGTGAGTCAGGTTAAAAGCTTTCATGGGACCAGTGACTAGGTTAGACAATACTATAACCCCTAAGCACATCTCAAGGGTTATATATAATTCTTGACTTTTGTTTCTGGTGCTGGGGATTGAACTGAATACCTACATGCTGGACAAGTGTTTTAGCACTGAGCTATACCCCTAGCCTCTCTCTGTATTTCAGGCAGTAAGAGAGGGTGATGACTCGGTTCTGACTGCTTCATCCTCAGTGGAGGAAAGGCTGGGGGGTGGGGGGTCAGCCCAGCTCCAAAGCCTTGCTTTTGCCATGTACCACTACCTTGCTCCAGTCAACAAAGTCAAAGAACTTGACCCGAACACTCACCAAGCACGGACACAGGAAAGAAAATAATTTCCATTCAGTTGAGAGCCTCAGTAAGCACCTGATGACCCCTCCATGGCACTGAGAAGTCATTTCCAGGAACTCTGTCCTCTAGCCTCAGGGTGTTATCACCCATGCCCATCTGCCTGGTGCTGCCTCCTTAACGTCTCCTGTCTAAAGCTGCCCTGAAAGACTAGATCTCTCTAATTCACCACCCACCATTCCCCACAACCAGTCTTCACAGCAGCAATTTCTTCCTTCCTCGCCCCTCCAAGATAGCATCCCTGCCCCCAAGTAAGGTTCTAGAAAACTCTAGTTAGCCCTCAGACTACTGCAGCCACTCTCTTGTTTGTTTCTCTGTCCCTGCTGAGCCTTCCTGGAGCAAGCAGCCTCCACACTGCTACCAACATCACCTTCCTGAAATAGGACCTGTGCATGTCTACTGTGCTTCTGAAAGTCCGCTGCTAGACCGTAGATTCCTATCCAGTGCTTCTGCCTGCACCCTTCTCTTTCAGACTCCTTTTGATCTTGCCTCTCCCAGTGAAGCCCATGACACAACCCTGCTGGTGATTTTCATAACTCCCACCCCAATGTCTGTGTCCTCTTTCTGCTTTTGTGTCTGCTGCAGCTAGGCATGAGTTGTGCTTACCCGAGCCCCTCTTACTCAGCAATATGCCCATTCCCAACCGCCAAAGGATGCTAAACTTCACCTTGCCATGGACTCAAGGTGCCTGGCATGGCTAGAAGATCCTCCTGTTTAACTCACCAGCTTTGACATTCCTTTCATAGTCTATCACATATTAAGGGTGTTGCTATCTCCTGGTCTGTCGTCCTGAGAAGGAAGTCTTTCAAAAGAAAAGTGGATCCCACCTACCTCTCTTCTCAGCTTCTAGTATGACACTGGGCTCAAGGTGAAAGTTTGTTGGGTGAAAGAGAAACAAGATGGTTGGGGGTATTTATTATTTTAGATCTCAGAGCTTGGCTTTTCTAGACCAGTTGGAACTGGACTTTTCTGCTCCAGAGAGCTTGACTAAGATACAAGGAAGTTGAGAAACGGGGGTGTAAATGTTAGACACTGCCCTAGATAAAGAAAAGTTACACTTGCTTATTGAGGCGCTCATAAAACCTGTCAACAGTTTACAAGCTGAGAAAATGGTCCTTGCCTACCTTATTTCCCTGTGGTCTCTCCTCCTTTTCTGACTTAATAATAAAATGGACAGAATCAGCGCTTGGTTCTGCAGCCCTGGAGCCTTAATGCAGATTGTGCTAAACAGCAATAACTTTAAAAACACTTATTGATATTAAACCATATATTTTATCCCCAAGTCATGCAAGTGTATAATTCTTGGAAAAATAAAGATAGAAAACATTTAAATCTCTGAGTTGACTCATTGGAATACACCTCCATATACATCTTGTCAGTCTTCTCCTCCCGTATTTAGAGGACTTGGTTTTGGTTTCATGCAGCTATCTATTCCATACATAAAAATTGTAGGGCTGGAAAGATGACTCAGTTAAGAGCATAGATAGCTCTTGCAGAGGCCTGTAACTCCAGCTTATGTGGAACCCAATGCCTTTGGCCTTTGCAGACACCTGTATTCATGTGCATACAGACAACCAAATTAAAAATTTTAATAAAAACAAACCTTTAAAAATGCTTATATGGCTCTGCATTTTTCACACTTACCATATGCATTTAAACCTATTATCTATCTCTCAGCTGGTAAGATAGGTCTAGCTATCTAGCTCAGCAGGTCAGGGCATTAGCTGCCGACCTCAGCTCCATGATGGAAGTAGAGAACTGACTCCCAAAAGTTTCCTCTGACCTCCCTGTGTGCGCTGTGGCGGTGTGCCACACACACACACACACACACACACACACACACACACACACACAGTAATGTAAACATTTTCAAAGTGTTATGATTTATGTTATAATACATCATTTTAATAGGCAGAATGTTTGTTTTGGTGTGATACTGGGCTTTGAAGGTGAGATCTCATGCATGCTGAGCAAAAACCAGAATTTCTGTGGCTCTACTATTTTCCAGAAGTAAAAATTTTGCTTAACCATGCAGCTGGTTTTTTATTTTTTTAGGGCTTGTTTTCAATATTTTATTATTACAAACAGTCCTGCAAAAAATCTGAAGTTTGTTTGCATTTATGATTTGAGTTTAAAGGCAATAAGCAACTGTGTTTATTTGATTATATGTTTAGATGCATGGCTATGTAGTTAGTATGTATGCCTGTGACAGGCATACAGTGCACAGGGAATCCAAAAGGGTGTTGGACCCCCTGGGACAGGAGTTTGAACAGTGAGCCACTATGTGGGTGCTGGGAATTGAACCTGGGTCCTCTGAAAGAGTAGCCAATGTTCTTAGCCACTGAGCCATCTCTCCAGCCTCTGTGTGATTCTGGCAGGGAAAAGGCTATTCTAATTTACCTAAGTTATCTCATTCAACCAATTAAAAAATTAGTGTTAGATATTTTTCTTGTCCCCATTTTACACAGAAGGAAGTAACCACAGAGCATGAATTTTTGCCCAGGGTCAGCAGTGATGGTCTGGAAGC